TGAACTTGCCAACCTTTTTCTTAAAAATAAATGTGATGTTGAATTCACAGTTTTGACCACAATTTTGAACAAAATACTGTTTTGTTTTTGTTTTTACTGATGGGGGTGGGGGGTACTTATAGTCCGGTGCGACTTATAGTCCGAAAAATACGGTAAATTAACTCAAATCAAAACCAACACTATTGAATGTTTAATTATTATCATCTTTAAAAAAAAAAAAGATGAGAGGATATTTTTGGACCCTGTCAGTCAAAATGACAGCGAAGAAATCTAGTACACTCCCTGAAATGGTTAGAGCTAGATGTGTTGACCTTCAGTAAACATAATGGTAAAATGGTAAATGGTACTGAACTTATAGAGCGCTTTTCAAGTCCCTCCGGACCCCAAAGTGCTTTACAGTAACAGACATTCACCCATTCACACTCACATTCACACACTGATGATGGCAAACTACATTGTAGCCACAGCTGCCCTGGGGCACACTGACAGAGGTGGGGCTGCCATGCATCGGTGCCACCAGACCCTCTGACCACCATCAGTAGGCAAGGTGGGAGAAGTGTCTTGCCCAAGGACACAACAACTGAGACGGCTGRACGGGGGATCGAACCAGTGACCTTCCGGTTCCAGGACGACTCCCCTAGCCACTCCGCCACAGCCGCCCCAATCATTACCTCCGCCAAGGAGGTAATGATTTCGGTCGCGTATGTCTGTCGGCCTGTCTGTGGACAACATTACTCAAAAACCTGTGGACGGATTGTCATGACATTTACATCACATGTAGGGATGGGTACCTTTGACGTTTGAATCGATTCGGTACCAATATCCGGTACCTGGGTATCGATACCGGTGCTTAACGGTACCAATTTTCGGTACTTTATGTATGTTGTTTTTTTAATAATAAACATTTTTTTTAATTTAACAAATATATTTCTCAATGTATAATATTAACAAATATCAAGACAACATCCAACTCTTTGTATTGTAACATCAGTTGTTTAACTTATTTCTTTAAGGTGAAAACTCTTGAAAACAAGACAGTTTTGTCTTATTGCACAAATTAAAATCCAGCTCCACGTATTTCTATTGATGTCACTTCCCCGCTAGAAAAATTGTGTGATGGAGGTCCATGGAAGACAAATAAGTTTATATCAAATAAGCAAAAGAGGACTGAGTTAAAATAAATAAAAGGTATTCAAGCAACATTTTGAGCATATGTTTTGTATAGTGATATTAATTTATATTTTCAGATCTTCCAAGGTGCCAATTATGGAACTCTCTTTGCATTGTTGCCCAAATCAAATTCTGGAAGTGGTCATTCAACTAGATCCGTTACAAAAGGACAACTGACATTACCAACTTTTAAAAACTGTTACGGCCAGAGGTCTTTCTTCTATGTTTATACTAAAGCATGGAATGACATTCCTCAAAACATAAAGTCCATTTCAAAACTACAGCCCTTTAAGAAGAATCTTGTCTGCCATCTGCTGGACACTTTTTGTTGTGCTCATATTTAGACGTCCTATTTTGCAAATGCTGCCTTCCTGAAATTTGGTATGCTTGTTTGTCTTTGTGTCTATGGTGTAATAATAATGATGTGATTGTGATGCTGTATTTCTGAGTGTTTTATGTGCTGCAGAACAGGAACCTGCTGTAAAACAGTAATTATGCTGAGTCAGGCTTGATTTTTAGTAATCTTTTCCTGTTAAATCAATAAATCAAATCAAATCAACTTCAGATTAATTAATTAATCAATAACTTGCATCCTTAATTTATACAGGAATGAAATTAATTTATATCTACTCATATTTATGTAAATAAGCATTTTAATGATTTGGCCGATTAATTGATTAATCGAAAAAATAATCGACAGATTAATGGATTATTAAAATAATCGTTAGTTGCAGCCCTAAACTCATACAAGGGGATAAAACAGACGTTTTACACTGTGAAATGTGACTGATGAAAACTTAGGAGCTTAATCCGACACCAGTTTGACGATGAATAACGTCGGGTGACAAATCTTTCTTTTTTTTTTCCACATTGGACTCCACTGGGAAGAAATCCCTTGCATACTGCCTGCTTAAATGTTCGCTACGTCACAACTTATTCGGCAAATGTGTTTCCATCTCTGCTTTTGTGCATTTACGCTATTACAGGATGGGGGAAATTGGACTTGGCGGAGGTTTGCACTCTCTGAGTGCTTCTAGTTACACTTGAAATTGCACATGAAAAACAAAAACAAAAAAAGACTCACTTCTCCCGGAGCCTTATGCAGTTTTCAAGGTGCAGGTTTGTGTTCTGGTGGAAGAGCCAATCCTGAAAATCACAACAAACAAACAAAGAACAGAACGCAACTGTCAATTAAAAAAAATTTTATCCTGAAGGTTTATTATTTAACCCTGACAAAGAGGAGGAATAAAGGCCTGTATTCTTCCTTCAACTTATAGAAATCTATTAAAATAGTTTTAAAACACTTCTAATGTCTCAAACCGAAAGCAGAAGCTTAATCTGTGTCACTGATTTTGGTTCACAACAATCTGGAACAAGATAACTCCCAACACAGAAGGCATCTCAGCCAGTAAACATCTGTACATTTTAACCACAATTAAAATGTACAGATTACAAACAGAACGAATCGATGATGATCCATTAAAATAACCCAATAAATAGTAAATGTGAACTTTAATCCCTGCGACTAATAGGGGTGCAAAAATTTATAGATACACTAAAATATCACAATATTTCATTTCCCGATAATGTATCAGTTTTCTAAAACACTAATGATTTTAAGGTTTAAAATGTCACGCCAGAGGTTCATTCTTGTGTTGTAATTCAGCCTCCAGCCACTAGTTGGCAGCATTCAGCCATTTGGCTCATCCAATACTAGCTCAAATGTTAGCATTGTGAGTAAGCATTAGCCTTAAGTATCGATGGTTGAATCTGAGCAGATCATACCGACACCCGCAGCCGTCAAAGCTGAGGTAGTTACCAAATGTCTTGTTTTAGCCGGGATGTCCCGTATTTCAAGCCAAACTAAAGTGTCCTGTGCTGAACGAAAACATAATACAGGGGTAGACATAAGGACAACTTGAAAAGATTTACATTGTTTTTTCCTTGGTTGTCCAGTGGACAACCAGGAAGCAGTATTTGGTTGTCCAAAACCTAAATAACACTTATTGACCACTGTAATACATGCATCAACTCACCTTCAGTTGAGCACATTTCTTCTTACATAAAGAACAGGTGTGTGGAAATATTTTTGGTGAGGCCGCAGCATAATCAATCATCATATCCCGTGATGGAAGTCCCTTGGAGACTGGATTTTTTGCTGCAGAACACCGTTTAGAAGAAGGCACACGGGTGGCATTTGCCTGACCCAGAGCTGGCTGAGATGGACTAATAATGCAGGATTTGGGATAATTGACAAAAGGTGCAGAAGACTGGATGGGATGCGAGGCATAGGTGATAGTAGAGACAAAAGAAGATGGAAGTGGCTTTGAATTAGAAATAAAAGCTTGCCACGTTTGTAACATCAATGGGTTCTCTGTCAACGTCTGCGTCTGATGAATTACTGTCGTCTCTACAACCTTTGAGCTTTGAGGTTCCCTTTGATTTTTAGCATCTTTACTTTCCACATGTACAACAGATTGAGCAGAATTTACATTATGGTCAAGACTGCTGGTTGGCAGGGTTTTAGCAGCAAAATGACAAACTGGCTCCTCTGACGGAACAGAATCTGGAGACGATTCTTCTGAAGAAACATATATGACGTCTTCTATAGAACCTGGAAATGATTCTTTTGAAGAAACAAATATGACATCGTCAAGGTTCGGCACAGTCGTGTCTTGAGCTTCATTTGGCAAAGACAAAGTGGTAAAAATGGTCTGTGAAGTGTGGTTTAGTGTGCCCTGGAGTCCAGCTACATCGCTGTTCGGAGGAGCCACAAAGTTCCCCATTGGGGTGAGATGGTCAATGGGGCCCAACTGGTCATTTGAGGGAACCAAACGACTGCTGCCTGACTCTGGTGCCTCTTCACTGCCTGACAGCAAAACGTTTTCACCAGTTTTAGCTGTGCAGCAAACGGACCCGGCAATCCTATCTTCAGGTTTTCCAGAAAGTCCATAGGCAGTCACTTTACTTGGCTGAACACAGGTTTTTGGCATTGCAACGCTCACAGTGGGTTGAGCAGTAGAGCTGGAGTTTGACTGAGCTGCAGCTGCAGCTCTCGCAGCCTTTTTCAAGCGAAGTTTGTTCAAGGTATGGGGCAGATTCTCGAGAGTGATCTGATCATAGGGGCCTTTTACAAGCTCTTCCAAGTCATCTTGATCCAGTCCATGTTTCAATAGGATTGTTAATAGGAAATCATCAACACTGGGCTGTGTGGCTGGGGGAGGTAAGACCTGCATTTGATTGCTGAACGTATTCTGGCTGACATGTTGATGTTTTAACTCATCTCTGGCACAAGAAGAAGTTCCTGGAATGTTTAAGCCAGATTCAGGTCCAAGAAGAGGTACTGTCCCCCTGGGATCAGTTGCCCTTTGTCCACTAACAAGTTCATTTTGGCCCTGGGAGGCATGTTTCCCCTCAGATGCGTGGGAATCAGACATGGGGTCAGTAACGTTCAGAAGGTCCAGGAGATTGATGGCCAAAGCATTTGGTGATGGTTTTGTCAAGTTCACAGGTCAGTCAACAAAGACTGGTGAGCTTTAAAAAGCTTTCCAACAGCTCATTTAGGGTCCTGGACCTGGACTTGTGGTACAAAAAAAAAACAGGGTTACTCAGTTTTAAACTCCGCAGATGAATGGAGTCCGTCTTCTGGAGAGACTCTTCCTGATCCGTTCACTCGTGTTGGTCCTGTCAAGGGAAACATCCAGTAAACACATTTCAATGGCAAAAACAAAGGAAGCACAATCAGCAAAGAAGCTAACAGTTAAAAAAAAACATTGTAGCTAGAAACTTTGGATTCAACAGTTTTGGACGCAAAGCAGCCAGATCTCAGTAAAAGATTGGTGTAGTTCTAGTAAACTGGAGTCATTGGACAAGATAAACCTTTGGTCAGTCTTGATGAAACCAGGCAAATTAAAAATAAAATAAGGTTTTAAAGGTTCTAAATACATTTTCCCAAAGACTAGTGACAAATTTAGTGACTTTTTCTGGTGAGAAAAAGAAAACTCCTGATGTAATTATGGCTAATCCAAAAACAATAAGAAGCATGATCAATACACACATGAACTATAGTGAATAAAAAAGGTAAACAAAAGGATTACAGGGATGATTACAACAGATTGTCAGAGTTTACAAGCCATGAAAATGCGCTCTCCCTCGCAAAAACAAAAAACCCACTTCCGGTATAAAGCATCATGGGATATAGAGTCTCTTCTATAAAGATCAACAATAATGTCCACTTAGAACCAGATATTAACCAAGTCTTGATGAACGAACAGTTACAACTCAAATTAGCAGCATTATATTAAATTATAATGTCCCAAATAATAAATTCAAACAAATTCTCAACAACCCCATTGATAAAACATGCACAGACAGTGACGGCAGGGCGATAATGTTTTTGCCCATCTGTGTGTAGGTGTTCGTTTCAATGGGCTGTTAGCAAAATATCCCATGAACCATCAAACACACCAGTGAATTAAAATTTACAAATAATTTTAGGAGTCAAACCATTTGAAAATGGCCGCCACAACAAAGATTTAAGAGGCAACAGGTATGTCTTTGGAAAAAGTTTTTTTTTTTTACTTTAAACTTATAAACCTTTTTAGCAAATTTACATTTTTTATGCCAGATAATGTACGGAGATTTATTTGTATAATGTTTGACATCAATGTGCAAGAGTAGACATAAGGAAATTTTGTACTTGTTTTCATGACAAAATCTGGTTGTCGGACAAATTTTTTGGTTGTCTGCAACCTTTACAATGAAAATGGCAAAAAAAGAGTATATTACACTAAATACAAGTGTTATTAGTTAACAATCTTATAGACTACTTGAACTTTTCAAGCTCCTGAGTGTCAGACTGTTTCAGGAGCTGCGAGTTGGGACTTACTGATCAAAGTTTTTCATATAAAGAGGAGTATACCATTTACATGACCTTAGTATAAGTACACGGTGTTCTCTAATGAAGCGTTAAAGTTGTAAAAAAGACTTTAACCTGCACCGTTTACATAATCAAGAGCCAAGTTTAAAAACAGCTTTTCTCTGTTTTGACATTTTAGTATTTTCAACTGAGGAATTGTAAGATATATTAAAAATTATAGCACAGGAAGTCCTTTGAATGGTATAACAGCATTTATTTTAATTAGAAAAAAATCATTGATATTGTTTCACTTAAAATACTTATATTTAGTTATTAATACTACTATTTCATATTTACTGAATTAAAAGTATATCCCTATCTCTCAGTATGGTTCTAATAATAAAGTTTAGAAAAGGACAGCCACAACACCTTGTTGTTGATAAAACACCATGTAAAAATACATTTTACAGAACCACCCGACGCTGAGTCTCACACAGAGAACTTTGTAATTTTGAAGGACAATTTTAATTCAAACTGAGCCACACAAGGCGAGATGTGGTTAACCAAAACAAAAACAGGTCGTCTCTGATAACCTAAAAGCTCTTATATCAACCCCCCTGCACTGATGGTTAGATATCCCCACTTTTTGCTAAAGTCTCAGAAACAAAAACACAAAAAACTCAAACTGGGACTAGAATAAATGCTTAAAGGAAATATAATCCACAGCTGAAGGTTTTCAGAAAAGCCTTTTCTCACAAAAAACAAATTTATCAAACTTAGACTCCTCTTTTCTATGTTTTTATTAAAAAAAGATAAACTTAAATACCTTTATCTAACGTAGCAAAACAAACAACTTACAGAGACACAGAGTGGCTTTTTGCTTCAATTTCTCTTATCTTCAAGGCCATTTTAACATCGGCCTCTTGTCTCTCGCAGGCTGAAAATGCTAGGTCCTGGGATTTACAGCTCCAGGTCTCACAGGGAAAAAACTCAGCTGTGCCCGTCAGTCCTTGACTGATGACGTCATCGTTTAAAGGGCAAACTTTATCTCTTTATATGACGTTAGAGCTGCACAACTGTTATTTTCAAATATTTCAACTTAAAAGCTTCAAAATGATCTGTAGTTTGTTGAAATTTAGCTCTTTATCACCTGGCCTGACAACAAAATATTGTCGGTTTGAAAACTCAGTTTTTACTTGTCTAGAACTGCGGTGTCCAGTCCTGATCCTCAAGGACCGACATCTTTCATGTTTATGTCGTTTCTTTGTTTCAACACACTTGATTCAGCAGGTCAGACTGTTAATCACTCATTCATTCAAAGCTGGTGTGCTGAAGCTCCTAAAATGTCGAGGATAGGGGTCAGCGAGGAACATTGGAGACCCCTGGTCTAGAATGGGGTTGGGCATAATCGTATCGTGTGCACTTAATTGTCAGAAGAACATTAATTGATTAATTTTTGGCACTTGACGATTAATAGGATTAATGCCACCAGGGGAGATTTTTCCAGTCAGTCCGCTCGGTGCTCCTCTCCGCTTCAAATATGTCGAACATTGAAAAAAAGGTTCTGTAATTTATTTATCTATCAACACAGTTTAAAATTTGATGAACAGCCTGAAGTCTGTGATTTTGACACAATTTGGAACAGATTTTTATGAAGAGCAAATCTTTCCCACTAAATTGGTCTTGTGACTATGACATAAGGGTGTCCAGGGGATTAATCGTCAAATTAATCGTTATCGGCTAAATACCCCCAATTAATCGTGATTAATTTCTTTGCCAATATTGCCCAACCCTAGTCTAGAATGGTGTCACCTGGGAAAAAAGCGGAACACCTGAGCTTTGCAGCTGTTTACCAGCACCTCAGCAGCTGGCAGAGAAAAATGTTCAATTACAAAGAAACTTATTTAAAGGTTATGAGACAAAAGACACGTCTCTTAGAAAAAAACTTGATTGAAACTATTTTTTCAAGTTAAGATATTTACTAGCATAGGAATTCATTTATTTCACAATTTGAGCTTTTTTAAATAAAGGCATTTACACCATTTCGGCTCTTTATTTCAAAACTATGCTTGTAAAACAGGCTTTAGCAGCTGTAAGATAAGGAGGTAACTCCAAGGCTTCCTCTAAACAAAAGATTTAATTCACATTCTTTTGTCTCTTTGTGGGGGGGGAATCTCACTCCTGAGGTGTGCCCGTCATAAAATTTACAATGCTAAAAATAAAGAGCCTAAAGCATTAATTTTACCTAAAACTTCTGGTTTGAATAAAAATTAATCACAACCAAATAAACAGGTAGGTCTGTGACAAACACCGGCTCTCAATAAATAGACACTACTCTATTTATTGAGTTTTTAATCACTCCCCTAGGGTATTTCACTAGGTTGTTTTAGGAAAGTGTAGCAAAGAAGTTAATCTTTCTCCACATTTTTATTGAACAGACATTTTGATGACGCTCTAGTAGTTCAACATGCTTCAAAACGTGTTTGAATTTAAAGCACTCAATCAAAAAGTAGATTGCACCAAAATACAGAATTTTATTTACTGAATTACTTTCATGAAAATCTGATCGCACATTATGGCTTTTCAAGACCCCAAACACGACAACGTTATGGTCATAGCCTGATAAAATAACTGTTTTCTCTTTGATCGTGGATTAATCTATTATTTTTCCCCTGTCTAGTTTTACTATTAGTGCATTTTACCAATGCATAATGGTTTTATAGTTTTAGTTATTAATAATATATAAATTATTATATAGTAATGAATATAGGTAGCCAATGTTAGGAGCATACCATTTCCTACTTCTGCTGAAAATCCCAGTTATCTCAATAAATGGTTTTCTGGGTTTTCAATGTTAAACCAGTGGAAAATTATGAGCAATTTTTAGATAGTAAAATTGCCATAACTTCCTTATCTCATCGCATAACTACAATCTTGGTGACATTTCTTATTTTTATGAAGCTCTATCTATTGTACTTGTAAAAAAAAAAAAAAAACAATTCAAGGACTTCTGTCAGTGCCCTGAGACAACATATGTTGTGACTTGGTGCTATATAAATAAACTGAATTGAATATATTTTCACTGGTCTAGTTTTATGTTTTTTATATTGCAAGTACTGCACATTGTATTTTAAATGTTTGCCTGAAAGATTAATATAATATAATATAATATAATATAATATAATATAATATAATATAATATAATATAATAATTAACCGTGTCAGTCCACTTTATTTTTTAGCAAAGTTAAGTAAATGTGAAAGTTGCATCACGTCTTAACTTCCTGTTGTCAGTGAGTCTCCATATTTTAGTTTTATCTTTTATCAACCCAAACAGGAATCATTTACACAGCTCTTGCTGGTTCATAAAACAAACGAACGGTTTTGCAAAACTCGACATGTTGTTGCGCCAACTGGAGTTTTAGGTCTTTAAGAGCGATTTTTAGAAACAATAACGTTGACAGGTCGTGAGTTACAAAAAAAAAGAAATATAACGTTGTTATTTTACAGTAAATTTTGTTTCTTACCTTCGTTCTTGGCATGTGTTTCGTAACAGAAAAAACGTGGACTGCGCGCGAGCTGTTTTCCTACTTTTTTTCTTACTTGGGTGAACTTTCTTCTTCTTTGTTTTACAAGCTTACAGACATGCGCATATTACCGCCACCTATTGGACAGATGCGTATTTTTAATGCGCATGCGCAGTGCAGCCAAAGCAACGCTCACCGGAAACAGCTACTCTAATTGGTATCATGGCTTTAAACTAAAACAAATTCGAATATTTTCTCTTGTATAATTTTTTGGAAAATTTCTCAACCAATGAGCGAACGGGGATGCTTTTAATCCCGCCAACAGCGTATTCTCCCATTGGTCGAGCAATCTGTCGATCAGGGGCGTGGCTCAAGCCACTGTCATGTGACGGATGTTTTTGTTGGGTCGTTTCCGCATTCGGTGAGTGTGTTTTCTCCGTGTCATGTGAACCCTGGAAACAGGGAAAGAAAACAAACAAAACCACCGGGGTTTCGTCTCACAGACCCGCTGAAACCGACCGCGTCCAGGAGACCTGTCCACCCACGACGGCCGCACCAGAGGCTCTTCCGGCCGGCTCTCTCTGAACGAAGCTCGGGTCCAGGCGGTCAGCGATGGCGGACGAGGAGCGGTCACCGCTTCTGTCCGAGAGGCTCGACGGCACCAACGGCTTCCCTCCCGGCGAATATTCAGGGAGTATGTCCGGTTTTTCTTTATCTCACAAGAGCTTTTTAGCAAATGCAAATTATTAAACAAATACCATTTTGTTCATCCTGGTTATCTACGAGCCTGAGCTGTCCTGTCAGGCAGGTTTTAAATCAAGTTAAGACACTTTAAAAAGGTTTAATTTGACTTCAAACACAGTTTTCTGTCTCTGCTGGAGTTTTAGGATGAATTCAAGCAGATATATTGAAGTCACATTGATTTAAAAATTATTTTTGAAATGAAAACCTGTCATAAAGTCAGTTAATTGAAGGAGGTAATTTTGAATGCTTTTTGTTTAAAAAAAAGTTTCCAGACTTTATTTACTGAAAATTTAAAAAGAGCAATTAAATATCTTTAAATAAAACATTATTAATAAAGGCATCTGCTTTTGTGCAGCTGGTTTTTTAAAGGACGTTTGCAAAACATTAGTTATTAAAAGGTAATTAAGCCTTTTACTATGTAATGATCAGTTTTTCTTCCATTATATGATTAACTGAATCGACATAATTCAGTTCTGATTATTATAAAACTTGCTTTTCAGACACCTGAAAGTTCAATCATTTTTATGTTTTATGTTTTGGTTATAGCTGTAATCTGTTCTTATAATCCTGTTGGTGTTTCAGTCCACTTCCTGTTTCACACTGGATGAGGTTTTTGCTGTGTCATCAACACTTTGAAACATCTATAAAACACACGAGTCATTGTAAAACGACAGTAGAAGATCTCATGATCCACAGACCCAACCTTTAGTTTGTTTTAGTTTTCATTCTTATTTTAAATTTCACATCAACTCATCATGGCCGTGTTGGTCTCAATTAATTTGTTTTTATGTGTTTTTTTTTTTTATCCAATGTTTTCATGTGAAAATGTTTTAATTTATTGTGGTTCTTCTTTAATCCAAACACACTCAAACTTTTACTACTATTTTTACTGGTTTTAGCCTTTCTAATGTTCTAATATTCTTCCAGTGGATGTAATCATTGTCTCTCCGTTGTTCCTTCTCGCAGGTCGTGTCTCGTTCCCCGGTCCTGTGGACCCTGGAGAACCTCCCCCTCCGTACTCTCCTCAGGGCAGCCCGGACAGCGGCAGCGCTCCGGTCATCAGCTGCCGGGTCTGTCAGAGCACCATATCTGTGGAGGGCAAGACGCATCAGCACGTGGTGAAGTGCAACATCTGCAACGAGGCCACGGTGAGTCGATCCACAGATGAACGGACAAAAAAGACCTGCCGACTCGGCTGTTTTCAGCCACTTATCCCTGCTTCCTGTTTGTGTTTCCTGCAGCCGATAAAGAACGCTCCTGTTGGGAAGAAATACGTGCGCTGTCCTTGTAACTGTCTGCTGATCTGTAAGGTCACGTCTCAGAAGATCGCCTGTCCGCGGCCGTACTGGTGAGACAGAAAAACAAGTTCATAAAACATTTGTCTGCTTCGGCTGTTTGTTTTAAAACCATCCAGGCTGACCCTCCACTGTTGTTGTTTTCCTCTGGCAGCAAGCGCGTCATCAACCTGGGACCGGTCCACATCGGCAGCAACAGTCCAGAACCACAGCATCGGCCCGTCGGCCTCATGGTCATGTGTGGACACTGTACCAGTACCTTCCTGGTGAGACTGGCTGCTGGCTGTGACTGAACGAGATGGTTTTTGTTTGTTTGTTTGTCTGTCTATTTGTTTGTTTGTCTGTCTGTTAGTTTGGTTGTTTGTCTGCCCATTTGTTTGTTTGTCTGTCTGTTAGTTTGGTTGTTTGTCTGCCCATTTGTTTGTTTGTCTGTCTGTCTGTTTGTTTGTTTGTCTGTCCATTTGTTTTTTTGGTTGTTTGTCTGTTTGTTTGTTTGGTTGGTTGTTTGTTTGTCCGTTTGTTTGGTTGGTTGGTTGGTTGTTAGTTTTTCTGTCTGTTTGTTTGTTTGGTTGGTTGGTTGTTAGTTTTTCTGTCTGTTTGTTTGTTTGTCCGTTTGTTTGTTTGGTTGTTTGTTTGTTTGTTTGTTTGGTTGTTAGTTTTTCTGTCCGTTTGTTTGTTTGGTTGTTTGTTTGTTTGTTTGTCTGTTTGGTTGGTTGGTTGGTTGGTTGGTTGTTAGTTTTCTGTCCATTTGTTTGTCTGTCTGTTTGTTTGTCTGTTTGTTCGATTCTCTTTTTGTTTGTTTTTTATTGTTTGTTTGATTGTCTGTCAGTTTGTTTGTTTTTTGTCTGTCTGTTTGGTTGGTTGTTTGTCTGGTTGTTTGTTTGGTTGTTTGTTTGTCTGGTTGTTTGTTTGTCTGTTTGTTTGTCTGGTTGTTTGTTTGTCTGTTTGTTTGTTCGATTCTCTTTTTGTTTGTTTTTTATTGTTTGTTTGATTGTCTGTCAGTTTGTTTGTTTTTTGTCTGTCTGTTTGGTTGGTTGTTTTTTTCTGTCTGGTTGTTTATTTGTTTGTTCGATTCTCTTTTTGTTTGTTTTTTTATTGTTTGTTTGATTATCTGTCAGTTTGTTTGTTTTTTGTCTGTTTGTTTGTGTAGTTGTTTTTCTGTCCGTTTGTTTGTTTGTCTGTTGTTTGTTTGTCTGTTTGTTTGTGTAGTTGTTTGTCTGTCCGTTTGTTTGTTTGTCTGTCTGTTTGTCTGTTTGTTCGATTGTCTTTTTGTTTGTTTTTTATTGTTTGTTTGTTTGATTGTCTGTCAGTTTGTTTGTTTTGTTTCACACTCTGAATGTTTTTGTTTTCCAGTGGACAGGGATCTCAGACCGGACCTTGGCCCGATGTCCACACTGCAGAAAAGTGTAAGAACCTCTGAGCTCCTCTGAGTCTTTATGTACAGCTGTGATTCAGCTACTTTAGCTGCTAAATCTAGTTTTAGTAGCTTCTGTATTATTACTTCCTGCTACTAGAAATGTTTATTTACCAGCAACTTTTTAAATCTCTGAAAAACTGTGCAGCATATTTATTTCATTTTCAGCTTTTAGTAAATATTTTCTTTATTTTAGCTCTTAGCCACTGTGCTTATTGCCTTACCTTTTAACTACTTTTTCTGCTGAGCTTGTTTTCAGCTACTGTCTCTGTTGGCCTTTTAATATAGCTGCTGTTTCTATAGGTCTTAACCTTTAGCTACTGTTTCTACAGATCTTAACCTTTAGCTACTGTTTCTGCAGGTCTTAACCTTTAGCTACTGTTTCTGTTGGTTTTAACCTTTAGCTGCTGTTTCTGCAGGTCTTAACCTTTAGCTACTGTTTCTACAGGTCTTAACCTTTAGCTACTGTTTCTGTTGGTTTTAACCTTTAGCTACTGTTTCTGCAGGTTTTAACCTTTAGCTACTGTTTCTGTAGGTCTTAACCTTTAGCTACTGTTTCTACAGGTCTTAACCTTTAGCTACTGTTTCTGTTGGTCTTAACTTTTAGCTACTGTTTCTACAGGTCTTAACCTTTAGCTACTGTTTCTGTTGGTTTTAACCTTTAGCTACTGTTTCTGCAGGTTTTAACCTTTTACCTACTGTTTCTGCAGATCTTAACCTTTTACCTACTGTTTCTGTTGGTTTTAACCTTTTAGCTACTGTTTCTGCAGGTCTTAACCTTTAGCTACTGTTTCTGTAGGTCTTAACCTTTAGCTACTGTTTCTGTTGGTCTTAACTTTTAGCTACTATTTCTGTTGGTCTTAACTTTTAGCTACTGTTTCTGTTGGTCTTAACTTTTAGCCACTGTTTCTACAGGTCTTAACCTTTAGCTACTGTTTCTGTTGGTTTTAACCTTTAGCTACTGTTTCTGTTGGTCTTAACTTTTAGCTACTGTTTCTACAGGTCTTAACCTTTAGCTACTGTTTCTGTTGGTTTTAACCTTTTACCTACTGTTTCTGCAGATCTTAACCTTTTACCTACTGTTTCTGCAGGTCTTAACCTTTAGCTACTGTTTCCGCTAGTCTTAACCTTTAGCTACTGTTTCTGTTGGTCTTAACTTTTAGCTACTGTTTCTACAGGTCTTAACCTTTAGCTACTGTTTCTGTTGGTTTTAACCTTTAGCTACTGTTTCTGCAGGTTTTAACCTTTAGCTGCTGTTTCTGCAGGTCTTAACCTTTAGCTACTGTTTCCGCTGGTCTTAACCTTTAGCTACTGTTTCCGCTGGTCTTAACCTTTAGCTGCTGTTTCTGTTGGTCTTAACCTTTAGCTACTGTTTCTGTTGGTTTTAACCTTTAGCTACTGTTTCTGCAGGTCTTAACCTTTAGCTACTGTTTCCGTTGATCTTAGGTTTTAGCTACCGTTTAAGCTAGTCTTAACTTTTAGTCGCTGTTTCTGCAGGTCTTAACCTTTAGCTAGTGATTCTGGTCTTATATTTTAGCTACTGTTTCAGCCAGTCATGGCTTTTAGCTGCTGTTTCTGTTGGTCTTAGCTTCTAGCTACTCTTTCAGCTGGTTTTATCTTTAAGCTACTCTTTTTACTAGTCTTGGTTTTCAGCTACTTTTTCTGCTGGTCTTAGTTTCTAGCTACAATTTGCTAACTTTAGCATTTAGCACTTGTCTAGGTAATTTTAGCTTTTGTTTTGATAATTTTATCTTTACCCGCTCAGTTTAGTTATATTTCTACAGAAAATCTTTTTTTCTCTCGTTGTGAACCTAAAAGTTTTTATTTATCGGCCTTCAGCTCGTCGGTCGGCCGTCACTACCCGAGGAAGAGGAGCTGGTTGTGCTTCGTGCTGTTTGTCGTCGCTGTTGCTTCAACCATCGGCCTTTTGGTGAGTTTCACCCTCTGAGTAGCCGCCATGTTGAATTCTGAGCTCTCCCACTTTCCAACTGGGAATCAGACTGGAGGGAGTGTTCCAGTTTAAGACTTTCTTCCTGCTTTGTCTTCGGCCAAGACAGAACGCTTCCAATACCTCAGCACGTAATCTGACACCCAGTATGCAGCAACTCTCTGTAATTTCATGGGTAAAGTAATCGCTATGCATCATGGGAGATGTAGTTTATTGTTAATGCTGGCTTTAACGCAGCACACACTTATTTTAACAAGTGATGAAACGTCTGTAATCAGACACGTTTTAAATTGTGTTTCTGAGGATGAATCCGTGTCTCTGTGTTCAGGTCGGGACCTGGAAACCCGCCCAGGCCTTGAAGGGGATCTACGTGTCGTGGGTCCTGCTGATCCTGCTCACTCTGTTGGCCCTGACGAGAACCGTCTACTGGAGGTGTCTGAGGATCAGCGTCCCCTTATCAGTCATCACGTAGAGGAACTGACAGCTCCACACAGCTGCTAGTTAGAAACGATCAGAGATGTTTTTTCTGCTGCGAGACTTTCTGTTTGTTGATGAAGAAGCAGATATATTACGGCCACTTAAAAAAATTAAATAATCCTTAATTAAAGGTGTTTTTTTTTCCCTCGGAGCTCTGAAAGCATCTCTGTTCATCTCAAACAACCTGAACAAACATCTTCAAAACAACAGTCCAGGAAGTGCTTGAATTTGTTGTTGTGTGTGCACGGGTTGTTAAATCTAAGCAGTCAGTAACGTTTACTCTGTTAAAATGTTTAATCACATTTTCAGACCAATGAACGGCCTTTATAGATTAAAATCATCTGGTTTAATCATGAATAAGAACAAGCAGGTGGAGGGGTAAGGGTTAAAGGTAAAATATTTAGTTTTTTCAGTCTGTGGGTGTTTTGGGAACATGTTGATTTATGTTTTGTTTTTGTTAAATATTTGAATCCCTTCAGTCTTTTCCCTCTCACTGTTTTAATCTCCTGAAGCACAGAAAGACTCGTATGATTTCTATATAAATCCTCTTTATTAGATGTATATAATGATCATTTGTGTGTAAATATTCAGCTGGGTGTTATTTCCTGTACAGAATCAGAATGATTTCACTGCGTCCTACTGAAGTGTGTCTGTTTGTGTTTCTGGACTTTACTATTGTCGAACAAAGTAAAACTTTTAATCAAGATCAAAGACTCAAAATGGGTTTTTTGCATCCTAAGAAGCAGAGTATTTTAGGATGAGTTCTATTAAATTCAAGGTTCTTTCTGTCACTGTTTTAGTTCAGGATACATTAGAGGGAGTTTCTGGTGCAGGGGCACCAGCCCCCCCACCCCAAAAGTTTGTTGCCCCCCAGTTTTATCCTTTTTTGTACCCAGGTTTGTCTTTTTTCAGTTCCTTAGCTATTTAGGTATAATAGAACCAATAAAAACAAAAAACAAACAGCCTCTAAAACAAAATATATATTTTTTATTCTTGCACAATCCTTTGTATTATATTTTAATAGTAGTAGTATCATTGCTGGTAATTTTTTTTTGTCTATATTTTGTAAACCAGTGAACCTCTGTATTGATGCTGCTGTGACACCTGAGTTTCCCCTCAGCAGGTCAATAAAGGCTGTTTCTATTTTATTTTATTCTGTTCAGATATATTACATGGTAGAAGTGCAGATAGTTTCTGATCTCTGGACGTCACATAATCAGTGATATTATCCGAAAAATGACAAACTGAACATTTGTTGGCAAATTTCTTATTTTATTTATTTATATTTAGTAAATTTATTTGTTTTTATTTATTTAGTTCTTTTGATTTTTAG